TCTGAATAATGACTTTGCTGGCATGGCAGGAATACAGATTTGCAGAGAAAATACAGCACATTTTTGCCAAAAAGACACTTTTTAAGCAGAGCAAATGTGCTCTGCTCCCACCAGGCATTTCCACTGGCTGGAAATTTCTGGCTGGACCCCAGAAGGGGTTATTGCTCTGAGCCAGAAAACCTTTTTGGATCCTCAGGTGTGTGAGGTGCACCCAGGGAGGTTCTCCTGGGAAAAACCTGCAAGATCAGGAGAGGTTTTACCTGGAGCACCAGCACCCTGGCCCTTGCAGAGGGCACTAACAATAACCCTGCCCAGGTGGGAGGATGGTGTTGCTGCACAAGTCCTGCTTTTACTTTGTGGTTTGGTTGCAGGTGCTGTTGGTTCCCTGTGTTTGAGACAAGGAATCAGAGTGCTGAGAGGTTTACACTGAAGCACACTCATATTTGTCCACTGATGCAAAAGAGTCAAATAGCAAAAGTGCTCAGCGTGCTTTCTTTTACATTTTTAAAAAAAAACCCCAAAGCACTCTGAAAAACCAAAAGCAGGAATAAAAAGCCAATTCTGGAAATCTCATGTAGCGCATTTCCAAACCCCTTTGAAGTTAATGTTGGACAGTCTCCAAGCTCAGGTTTGTTGCCTGTTCTAGGATTTTGCTTTCTGCCCCACTGCCCATCTGCACAGGACCTCTGGCTGTGGGCTGGACTTTCCCCCTATTCCTGTCTTAGGAAAAACCTTCACTGCAAAAGACAGTGGGAAAAGATGGGAAATCTGAAGTTTAGCCTTACACCTTTTCCTTAGCTGCTCCAGCCATGTGCAGGATAATGTCACTTTAAGTTTGATGATTCCCAGTCTGGATTCCAGGGCCATTGCTTTTCCTACGGGTGTCACAACCTTTACATCATCTGAAAGAACAGATTTTGTGTTTTATGTGCCCAAAGGCTGCCCATAAAGGTTGGCAAGGGCAGTTGGCTAAGTCTGCACAAGGTCAGTGAGGATGTCCAATAATTGTCCTAACACTTTACCTGTTATGGAGCAATAATGAGAGTTTTTTTTTCATTATTTTCGGGTGAGTGAGCCTGGCAGATGCTGACAGCCAGCAGATGTGTAAAGTTCGAGGTGATTTGTAAGGGACCTGCTCATCTGACGCATGGTAATTGCACTGTGGGACATTGTCACTCAGCCCCGTGTCCTGCTCCAGCAGAACGAGGTAAAGGTCAGTTCAAAGAGCTGTGAGGCTCCAGGGGCAGCTCAGGCTGGAATTAAACCCCTCACATCCACTTCTCCCCTGGGCAGGTGCTCACAGCGTGCCCAGGGCTGGGTGGGTGCCCCAGGTGTAGATTTAGGGATCATTTGGGTGACCAAGTGGTTATTTGGATCTGGAGTGAGCTTAAATCCCTCCTCTGGTAAGGCTGGTGTGGTAGCTCAGTGCTCATCTGTCCACTTTTAATTTGGGGCTTGGAAATTTTTTTTGGTGACTTTTTCCTTCAGTGTCTGTGTGCTGTGGCAGCTCCCCGGCAGAGCGGGCACTGGCAGCAGAGTGACACAAGCTGGAGGGGACAGTGGCCTCTCCATCTGCTCCCTGCTGCCATCTCTGTTCTGCCAGCCCCTCCAAGAAGCACTCTGTCAAGTTTCTTTTGCCACTTTAGCTGAGTTTGGCATTTGTCACACCCCGAAAGGTCAGGAGCTGCTCTGCCTCGCTCTGGTGAAGCTCCCCTGTTCCTGCTCTCAGGCATTAGGAGTGGTGTGAGCAGTGATGATGGAAGTTGGTGGATTTGGTGGAAAAAGTGGATTTGTCTGATGCTGAGCCTGCTGAGGGCCCCAAACAGTGAAGGAGAGGCAGCCTTGGGATGCCCCCAGTACCTGGTCCTTGCTGGGTCCCTGCAGCATAGGCAGCAGTGCTGCCTGTCCTCGTGTCCTAATCAGGATCGATTTTCCTGGTGTTTGAGTGGGATCTTTATCACAGCCACGATGTGTGGAAGTCAGCTGAAGGCCTGATTGACTGGGTTTCCTGGGTGTGCCTGTGCTTTCTGTAATGGACCTGCTGATAAATCTGTAATACCCCGGAGATCTCGATAAAACGTGTGTCGTGTATTTCATCTCCTGCTGCCTCATTCTTCTGCTCTTGCAGGTGCCTAATCCGTTGCTCTTTATCTCATAAGACATCACATTACAAATATTCTTCTTTATTCTTCTCCTAACATCCCCACACTTGCCAGCAGTGGAAGTTGCAGTGCCTTGCCTTGCTTTGCTGGCAGTGTGAGCAGTGGGTCAGTTCAGAGGCTGGAGGTTTCCCTTGAAGCTTGGCAGCCCTGTAGACTCACTGAGCACAGCATCACACCTGTGAGACACAGACCTTCCAGCCACTTCTTTTAGTCTCTCCCCATTCAAAACCTGCCAGGCCAGGGAAACTGAATGAGAGTTTTGCTGTAAACATGGTTTCCCCCGTGCAGAGCTGTTGGTAAAAGCTCTCCCTAATTATTTGAGCTGTGAGTTAACAGTTGTTTGCTGGCCTGCAGGCTCTGCTCACCATCCCTGTGCTGAGCATCCAGGGATGGATTCATCCCAGCGTGTGTGATACTGAATGTAGAGGTGAGTGTGTCTGTTCTGTGCAGGATCTGGCAGAGTTTACAGGACTCTTTTCAGAGATGCCAATTGGGAAGGAAAAGGTGAGTTTTGATTGGAAAGGTATATTTGTAGAAATAAGTATAGACTTTTGTGGATTTTTGTTTCATTTAGTGTTCCAGGATATTTTTAAGAGTCCTATTCATGTGTCACCAGAGGACTCCCATCTTTTTGTCCAGCTTGGCCTAACTCTGTAGACCTGATCCTGGGCATTTCCTGAGCTCATTTGTTGGGGTGGTAATTGCTGGTGGCCACAAAGGCCTGAAGCAGTCTGGGATGTGTCCAGACTCCTCCTGCTTTGCTCAGTCCTTTCAGAAGAGTCACTCTGGTTTCCATCCAAAATGCTGAGAAAGAAGTGAAGTTTGTAGTACAGGAAAACTGAATATTTCACTGAGCTGACCTGTAGGGTGCTGGTTTGTCTGTGCAGGTCTGTCTTTGGTGTTATCCCTGGATTCATTATGTTGACCTTTAGGAAGAGAAAAAGCAGATTCTAATTCAACAATTGTCTGCTTCCAGGCAGTTGTGAATCATGGGATTTCTTTTCCCTAAGAGTGTGCAGGGAGGCTTTGCATTTAGAATATTTTTTTTTTTTACCCCGGCACACTCTATTGAAGTTTGTTGTGTATCCAAATTACACTGCTTTGCTTTTTAACTCCAGCTGAAACCGTGTCTCAAATAACAGATGTGGAATATTGTCATCCCACTGTCACACCAATTGTTCATTGTTCTGAGAAGGTCACATCATAATTCATTAACAATAATTATTCCCTGGGTACACCCTGCACTTCTTCACTCAATTGCTTCATTAACTTGAGAGTGAATCTCACATTCAGTGCTCCAATCAATGAAGATATATTTATAATGTACAAGTGGATGCTATTAGTTACAATATATTAACTGCCTAATTTAAAAGAGAAAAGCTATCTTTATGAAGGGCAATTAACCACTAAGTGTAATTGATAATTCACATATCTATGATTAGGAAAGACAAATAATAAGAAAGGAATGAATCACCAGCATTATTAAAGAAGACACTGGTGTGTAGTTTTGATGAGCAGAAGGGGCTCTCTGGGTCAGGACCAGATTTCCAAGAATCCTTTGATGGAAAGTTCATCATCAGATCTGTTGTCTGGAGGTGGCTTTGGTGTTTGCACCCACCAAGTGAGATCATCTTCCCTGCAAAATGGACCCAGCGTGTTTTGTTGTCTTGACAATCAGTGCAGGGACTTACTTAATAGAAAAGTCCTTTTTTGTTTAATACAAAGAAGGGTCATAATATTTTATAAGAATTTGTGAGCCTGGTTCCAGACTTATGTAAGTACCTGAATCTGCGTGTGCTCAGGTCCTCAAAGATAATTTTACACAAATTCACATGAAAACTGACAAAAAGTAGGCATTTTCATGTATTAGAGGAGCTGAGTGAAAGTCCCTTAGGCAAATGTTTGGTTTTTATTAATTGTGGTACATTTTCAGTGCTTCTGATTTTCTGTGGCCACTTTGAAGTACATTGGCTCTGCAAACAGCTGACAGCTCATCCTCGGGGAAGAGGCTTTTTGGGGACATCCACAGCAGGTCCCCAGCTTGGGAAACAAAGCTGCTCAGAGGCAGAGGGCTTGCAGGGGATTCACAGAATCACAGAATGGTTTGGGCTGGGGGGAACCTTAAAGACCCCTAAGACACCATCCCACCCCAGGGACACCTTCCACTATCCCAGGGTGGTCCAAGCCCAGCCCTGCCCAGCCTTGGACACTTCAGGAATGGGGCAACAACACAACTTTTGGAGAGTACCAATCCCCAGGAGCCGTGTTGTTGGCTCTGGATACTCATGGCCTTGTTTTCTTCCCCTGAGAAGCCAATTATCTGTAAACAATTATAAATGGATCAGTTAAAGTACCAGATTTTTTGGATGATCCACCAAGTAACAGCACAGGTGTTTTATGAGAGATTTAATGATAAATGTGACTGGATCCACCCCAGTGTTGATATAACATCATTGAACTAACTGGCAGCTGCAGTGCCCAGAGTCAGGATTTCAGGTGCATCTAGTCACAGCAAAGGAGCCTGCTCCAGGTTTGGAATATCATCTTCACCTTCTTAGCAGAATTCACAGAATGACCAGGTTGGAAGAGACCTTCAAGATTGAGTCCAGCCCAGCCCCAACACCTCAGCTGAGCTATGGCCCTGAGTGCCACATCCAGGCTTTGTTAAACACACCCAGGGATGGTGACTGCACCACCTCCCTGGGCAGCCATTCCAGAACTTTATCGCCCTTTCTGTGAAAAACTTTTTCCTAATATCCAACCTGCATTTCCCTTGAGACTGACACTCTGGTCTCAGTTCCTTCATCAGCTCACCCCTCTGCTGCCTTCCCTCCACAGGATCAAAGCCTCCGGGCTGAAGCTGCAGCTCTGCACCAACGAAACCCAGGCGACCCGGGAGAATTTCGTGCGGAAGCTGCGGGCCATGGGCTTCGACATCTCGGTGGCCCAAGTGACCGCGCCGGCGCCGGCCGCCTGCCGCCTCCTGAGGGAGCGAGGCCTGAGGCCTCACCTGCTGGTGCACGACGGTGGGACAGCCCTGGGGACACGGGGAGGGAGGGGGATGCTCTGCTTTCCTCTTCGTCTTGGCACGGATGAGTAGGTGTCTGAAGAGCGCTTGATTCAGGCCGAGATTTATTTATTTTTTCATGTGTTGTTGGGAGTGAAGGGAAGCGCGAATCTGGGGATTTGTCGCTTCCATTTGTCGCTTCCTACACCTCGCTGTCTGAAATGGTGAGGAGTTGGAGCCCTGGATGCTGAGTATTCCAGACTTTCTGTGCTGCCAGGCACTGACCCCCAAGAGAGCACTGCATTGACCTGAGGTCATGAAGAAGGCTTCCAAAATGGAATTACAGAACTGGGATTGTGGGTGTGGAGTTTGGATAGAAGTGTGTGATATCACAGGGTGGAAAACTTAGGGTTTAAGGGTTTAGAATATAGTAATATATATAAAGCAAGATGGAGGTTTAAGGTGGAGGCTGGTCCTTCTTCTCCACCTTCTTCTCCATGGATTTGGGTGGTTTTGTGTAATTGGATAAAAAAGTCCACATTGCGGGCATGGGTGGTTGGTTATTGGGTTAAAAGTAAAAGTAATTTAGGTGTCATTTCTTAATTGGACAGTTTATCCTTAAAAGACCTTGTATAAAGAGAGACAAACGTCTCCATTTTTAATTTGTTAGAGTGAAGTGCTGTAGAATTCAGTTTGTGAGGCTGTAACACAGACAAGAACTAATAAACACCTGAGTGCCAGCAAGAGATACTGTCTTGTGCATTTAATCCTGACCTTAGAAAAAAGAAGCAAAGAACCTACAGTGAGGGACTTGTGATTTTTTTTTGGTTTTTGCCTCCTTCTGTAGATCTTGTCCCTGAATTTGCTGAGATTGATAAGACAAACCCAAACTGTGTGGTTCTTGGAGATGCAGCAGAAAACTTCACCTACGCAAACCTCAACGAGGCTTTCCGACTTCTGATCGGGATGGAGAAGCCTGTTTTGATCTCCCTTGGAAAAGGGTGAGTTAAGCTCTGCTTTTTCCTCAAGTCTCTGCATTTTTTAATGATATCTTCAATGGAGGCCAGAAATCAGTGTGGGCACTCCACTCCCAGTACCAACTTTTCAGTTTTCAGTCTGTGTGCCTGGGCTGAGAGCCTCATCTGATCAATGAAGAGGACTTGAGGTGCTTCAAGGGAGCCTCAAACCCTCGTAGGAATCATGGAGAGTTTGGATTTTGATGTGTGTGACCCCAAGTGAGTGAGCATTTAGTATCTCAGAGATGAGAACTGTTGGTTTAACTGCTGCCTGTAGCCACGTGTTCCTCTCTGAACTGAATAGAAATTATTTTTCATAGTGAAGGAAACCTAAAGTTTCTCCAGGCCATGCTTGGGTAAAGAGCTGTTGGTGTAGGTTTGTGATGCAATTTGGTGTTTTTGAAGTGGCAGATCAATTGTTTTGGTAGTTTTAATGTCAGACAGCAATTTTAATTATTCTCTGCCCATTAAGTGTAAATTTTGACCTCCTGTTTCACACACAGGAAAAAATAGCCAGGGAGTTTGAATGTTTTCCTGAAAATAATTAATTTAGATGTATTCAGAGATTTTAAACAGGACATTATTAGTTCCTGTGCTGAATAATGACAAATCCCAACAGGAATAACAGGAGTTACTCTTATCTGTTGTGTGATGCATGGGTTTAAAAGAGACTGTGCATGTTTATCTTGGGGAAAGTGCAGTGACAACTTTGCTCAGTGGTTCAATAGACTCTAATGGGCATGAAAACCCTTCTTAGTTTGTGGGTTATTGATCCAGCTGGGCAGAACTTATCAGTGGGAAGGAGCAGTTAAATTCATTGTGCCGCCTTACCTGACACTCTAATCCTCCAGCAAGGCTGAAAAATCCTTACTGTTTCTCAGAAGGATAAGGAGAAAATGTTGAGCCAACAGGAGAATGGCTAATGTATATAAAATAATCAAATTTTGTGTTATATAATACCATATTTCAAAATGAAATGTAGAATCAACATCTTCTTAGGAACTGTATTGTCATCAATGCAAAAATGCTTTGTACCACGTGTGTGTAAAAGTATTTATTAGGTCATTCATTGATAGAAACAGCTCTTTTTTCTTACTTCTTTGAAATACTACTTTTTGTTAAAAAACAAAGATTTTGGAATATTTAGAGCTCAGTTTTCACCAGGGGCATATTGTATTTTAATGGCTGATCATTGAGGTAACGGGAATATAAGTTCTCTGACTCAAAGGAGGAAGATTAGAAATTCTAAGAACTGTTCTCCTGACTGGAGAAGCCTCATGGATACAAAGGGCCATCCACAAAACCCAGCTGCATTTTTAACCTGCAGAACCAGCACAGCTGGGTGGCCTTAGCAAGGTGCCTGCCTTGGGCCAGCAGGTTGCTTTTGGCAGAAGTTTTAGTTCATTCCATAGAAAACAAAAGTGTCAGAGTCACTGAAGCAGAATGCCCTGCTCCTGGAAATGGAGTGATTTACATTTGGCATCTGTTTTGGGCTGAGAGTGGGAATTGGCTTTGTAATTTCTTCTGTCATGCCACTGTCAGAAAATTAAGCTGTTTACGCCAGACTATGGAAGGTTAATGGCTGTTCTAGCAAAGGTCAAGTGGTCATTTTAAAGGAAGGCTATGCTGAATAATCGAAAATGGCAGAAGGATAAGGCATAAAATCTTAGCTGACTGCTCATCCTACCTTTTTTCCTGTCATACAGAAAGCTGTCTTTGCTCTGCCCAGAGCTTGGAAGACCTGCATGAATGTGAATTGCCATTCCAGAAAAAACTCTCTAAAGACACCTTCTAATTCCATGAGCTTCATGGCCACGGGAGCATTTTTAGAAAGAACAAAATTCAGCTTGGAGGGTTTTTAGTCCTGATAAAGAGGTTCCCTGGTTGTGTGAGGCTGAGACAGCAGCGCTGGTCCTGCCTGGGGTCTCCTTGCAGACACACTGGGGAGGGGTCACAGCTGCTGGCTGGGGCCAGCCCTCACCTTTTACCTGCCAGGGCTCTCTGTCACTGTGCAATAATGCTCAGCCCAGTCCATCCTGTTCAAGCACACTGAAATCCCTTAGAAACAGTGAATTTGCTCCCAGATGGGCATCCGGGATCCTTTCCCTGAGCATTGCACGGTCCTGAGCCTGTCCTTCCCTTAACTCCTGGTGTTAAACCAAGGCCTGGGATTTTCTGATTACTTGACTTTTTATGCAGCCATATGGACATCTATAAAGGCCCAGAAATAATAAAATGTGGTTTCTTTGTCTTTAACTGCCAGCGTTTTCATTTCACGGGAACTTTATCACTTTCATTTCCAGACGCTACTATAAAGAAACTGATGGGCTGAAACTTGATGTTGGAGCATATATGAAGGCATTAGAGGTATTTTATGGCTGGAATTGTGCTTACTCACCCTGTGCACCTTGTTAAAAGAGTAACTGGCATAAATATGGGTCATCTTCTGTAATTACTCACCTTGGTGGAGGGAGTTTCCACACATTGAACCTCACTTGCTGCATTCTAAAGATGGGTGGATTAATTTCTTTTCTGCCTTTGGTTTTTTGCTTGGTTTTTTTTTTTTTTTGGTTTAAATGTGTTTTACTTAAACCATGAACTTTTTCTGTTGTGGTGCCCTTATTGCAAGTGAGGCCCTTGAAAGGAGGAGTCAGACAAGAAAAAAGTGGAATGTTGTGTGCAAGATACCCAAGAAAACCGGAAGGTCCATGTTATCTGTTAGGCTTTTGTCTAGGAACAAGCAAGAAACAATTTTTTTTCAGCATAGCACTGATATTTAGTTGCAGGAAAATGTAACTTGTAAAATCTGCTTTCTCAAATGTAACTTTTCAAAACCCAGATTTAAAACTCGATTTTTCACTTGGATCATTAAAATTATGCCAGGTGATTGAAGAAATCCTTTATATCTTTTAAAGGCTCTCCAGTACTTTTGGTAGTTTTATATAAAGGATATTTGTTGTGTCTCTAAGAGTGATGCTCCTAACAAAATGAGCAGTACTGGAACTGAGTTTAAAGATTACTCAAAGATGGAGAATGTGAAAGATTTGTACCTTGAGGTGTTTCAAGAGCATTTTCTCTCCTGCCAGAAAACTTTAAACACTTCTGTTATCCAAATTCTCTGATACTCACCTTCACCTGCTAATCCATTGTGTTATTTAAGGGCAAAAATCACTAATCACAAAGCTTTTATAATTGGAGTTATGGAGTTGAATAAATCCTTTTCCAATCAGCGTTTTTTGTGTTTCTCTCTCTATTTTTCCCCCCAGTATGCTTGTGATATCCAGGCTGAGGTGGTGGGGAAACCAGCAAAAAGGTTTTTTGAGTCAGCCCTGGCAGAACTGGGAGTTCCACCAGAGCAGGTAAGGTTGAGGTGCCATGCCCAGGGGCTGTGCCATATATTTGTGCCCACTGGTGCTTTTTTCCTGCTTTGCTGTAGCTTTAGTTACAGAAGAGGCAGAAGGAGAACGTGACCAGGACTCAATGCCTGGCAGAGGCAAAAGAGGTGCCCTAATGCCTGGCAGTCTGCTTGGAAGACTGGTGGCTACAGGGTGATGGAATTGATTCCAAAAGATTCCAAAATGTCATTTATTTCCTGTGCTGTCACACTGACTACCTTTTTTTTTTTTTTTTTTTTTTTTTTAAGTAAAAGGCAGAAGTAAAATATTTTATCATTTTGGTGACTAGGATGCACTGACTGACCCCAAAACCCCCTCCTGTTTTTCTGGCTTTCCAGAAACATGCTGTGCTTCCTCAGCACAGCCCATTTTCCCCTCTCTGTAGTTGTTCCCAGCTCCTCTTCATTGATTTGTTGTTCTGTCACACAGGACATAAGGATGAGTATGAGAAGCCTCACAAACAGCAGTGAATTACAACACAATAATTCCATCAGGGGGGTTTGGGTGACATTATAAACAACAGGAGTGAAGTTTGGGGTGGCTTGTAGGTCCCTGGAGCCTGGAGATGAAATTATGGCCCTGTAATTCAGCATGTGCTTGGGTTTTACTTTATTACAGAGTGGGGAGATGGATAAGACCTAGTGGGCCATCTAATCCATCTCCTTCCCCATGCAGGAATGTTCCCTGCTCCACAGTTATTAATGTTTTGTCCACAGTGCTTTTCAGAGAGCCAAACAACTGTCAGTGCCCTGGGGATGGTGTTCAGCCCAGTGGGTCTTGGGGGAAGGCAGCTTTTCCTGAGATTTATCAGGATATTTCCCTTTTAAACTGCATCTCCTTATTTCTAGTTTTACTCTAGTTAACAACCAAAATAACTTCCTGGACATTTTCTCCATCCAATTATCTCTAGGCTTGTTGTCATTGCAGGAGTTGTTTTTTACAAAACTGTGCTTTAGTTCTGCTGCTTCCCTCCATTCAGTCCCCCTGCTTTTTTCTGTGCTCCCTTCAGTCTGTCCATATCTTCCCAGGAATTAGCCCAGTCTGGACTACCCCTGGAACATCCCAGGTGCAGAACTCCTTGCCCTGGACACAAATCTGCTGTGGTGCATCACCAGGCTGGCAAAGCTGGTCCCACAGGGTGAGCCCTGGAGAGTGGTTCCCATCAGCTTCAGGGCTGTTTGTTTCGGGTACAGAAAAGCAGGAATAGTCCCCAGCAGAGATTATTTACTCCTTCTCTGCTGTCTGCTGCTCATGCCTAACTTTATATTTTGTCAGAGTTTTGGCTTTTTTTTTCATATAGTTTCTAATGTTAAATGCCATCAATCTGTTGTAGTGCTATGTCTAGTTTGTAGGTATAATACTTTATATTTAGAGAGTTTGGAAGTGAAGGGAGTGTGCTCCTAACCAAGGAGGAGTGCAGCAGACCCCACTGGATGATGGCACCAGACACTCCATGCTTTCCACCACGGAAAGAACAATCCACACTGCTGGAGTTAAGGCCTGGATCATGATTCAAATGTGTGTAGGAGGAACAAATTACAAACAAGCAAACTGCCTTAATTCTGGCATCTTTTCCTAAATTTTGAGTGCTTGACCTTGTGACTTTAATGTACTTTTGGAGAAGGATTTGCAGGTTGGTTTGGTTTGTGGTACACAGTAATAAAACCTCATTATTTTCAGTTTCAAACCTCAGTATAGTCACTTCAGTAAGTTCCTGTAATGCACTGCATTACATTTTAAACTGTTTCCTGAATGAATTCTGCATTTGTAGTGACATGGCAGAGGCTGGTTTTACTTTCCTTTGCTTTTACAAAATGTTTATTCCAATAATTTATTCCACCTGTGGAAGGCATTTAATCCATACCATCATTAAACCATTTTAGATGAGCTGTGCTTTTGAAAACATGCTACAATTTTCTTTCACTTGGCTTTTAATGAAAAATACCTTTTTAATAAAGCTGTCTCACCACTGTAATTTGAGACAGTGGCAATTCTGAAATTCCTCAAGCTGCTTTAATCAATAAAGTTATCACCAGTCATTTCCCTTGATAACTGCTTCTTACTGAGACCCTGACTCTGCCTTCTGCTGCTGAGATGTTTTCAGCCTGCACTTAGAATAAGAGGAACTCCCTAAAGTCCAATTTTCATTTTAACCTTTCCTCAATGGCCTAGAAATAACAGATTGCCAGTATTACTTTAATAGATTGGAAATTTAAACCTCTTAGAGGTAACCAGACCTATCTTACAATTCAGTGCTATGACAAAGAATAACACATCTTAAAGGTTACTGAAATGCCTAATTCATGTGTTTTAAGGCAGCTGTTAACAGTGGATGATTTTTACAGCTTTACAATAAAACCTAAATAATGTTAAGGTTCTGGTAGTTTTATATAATCATAAAAAGTTCTCTCTGTAACAAATGATCCAGCTTTAATGGGAGTTATGGCAGGTCATACTGGAGTCCATAAACTACTGGTAGTTAAGCAATTCCCATTCCTGCCACCTGTGAGCCTCAGGTGGGAGTTAGTGGTGCATGAGAGCAGAGAGAGGTCACCCAGGGGTGGCACAGGGCACCTGCTCCTGGCCCAGCATCCCCTCCTTGCCCACCAGCCCAACAGGGCAAGATCTTCCATCCCAAAATAAACGTGGCCAAGGGAAGTTTGAAGCTTCAATCCATGTGAAAGCTTAGTGAGAACTGTCTGGCCTTGCACCTTTGGAGTTCTAATTTAGAAACAAAATTAACTGTAATGTAGGATACTGCAGCTTGGAGTATTATTCCTTGGGGGTAGGAGAACAGGGAGAAAAGCAAATATGTTGTATTTCTGGTGTAAAGTGATTTAATACATCAAGGTGTGGTGTATAAGCTTTATTTCTGTGTGGTCCTGGCACATTTAACTTAAGGTTATTAAATCTATAGTAAAAAAATCTATTTAGGCATAAATATGTCTGACTCTAGAAGCATTCTCTGTGCTAAATATTCTGGTGGAGTTAGCACACTGCCTTCTGTGCAAATCTCTGTTTGCATCCTGCATGGGCTCCAGCCTCCAAAATCCCCCATCTGAGGACTGGCTAAATTCTCATCTTTCTACCTCCTTTAATCCTTACTCTGTAATTCCTTTTCTGGTCAGACATTTTCCTGTGACCAGTTAATGAATGCTGAAACTCTCTTTGTGGACAAAACCTACCTGGGGTTCCCACTCCGCACCCCAACAGCATCTCTAAAGATTTATTAATTTTGGCTGCTCAGGGTCTGTGGCACAGGCAGCACCAGTGGCATTGCTGACTGTGGGGATTATATTTTGCCTTTCCACCCCAAATTCCTGGGGGTTGGGTTGATCTCCTCTGTTCTCCCTGCCCCTCTGGGCTGAGTCTGCTGGAACCTTTTGAGAGCAGTGTTTTCCCTCAGGTTTGGCACGTGTGCTTTATTTGCTGTGTGTGTGCAACCACACACCACCTCTCACCATCTCAGGGAAATAGAAATTACACCCATCCTCCTTCTTTGAGGATTTGTCTTAAAACCCAGAGACTCGCTGCGCTTTTTCCCCTTCTTTTTAGTTAATTTGTAGCCAATCTAAAAAAAAGTAACTTTTGCAGAAGGATTGAACAGATTAACTGTGTGATCTCTGTGTAAAATGTGAACACGAATGGAGATCTTTTAATTCCTGCTTTCAGTGGCTATGTGACCTTTCAGTTTTATATCTTTCTCTCTCTTCTTGCCATATTGCAGTCAGAGAGGAAGTTAAACCCAGGTTTGACAGGTAGAGTTTTTTTATTTCCCTTGACAGCGCACCTTTTGACCTCTATCTTCTTGCCAATGATTTTTTAAATCCTAAATGATTTTGGAATAATTGCTCCTCCTTTAGTGATTATTGCCCTTCACTGATAGTAAATCTGTGAAATCCCTGGGGGCTGGAGCACATTTTTGTATGCGTGTGCCACAAGCTGGCCTGGACAGGCATCGCTGCTCAGCTGCAGCTGCACTTCCAGAGCTGCCAGAGCCTTGCAGGAAAACTTCCCTGGATGGGCTAAAATACAGCCCAGGTGAGCAGGAGAGGGCTTGGTTGGAGAGGCTGCCCTGCTCTGCCCTTTTTTTGTCAGAGGAAATTCTTTTTAAGATTGTTAGGACACAGGACTGGAATTGCCTTTACATCCTGAATGTTGGGGTTTGGGCTGAGCGAGGGCATGAGGTGGTGCAGGTCTGTGCCCTCTCACCCTCAGGGAGGTGTTGGAAGGAATTCTGTAAGGAAAAGGAATTAGAATCTCTTAAAGCCAGTGGTTGAGAGTGATTAAATATCCTGGAGCAGCCTGGGGGGAATTGGTAATGGTGCTTGGCTGGGGATGGCGTTGCCTGGTTCTTGCAGCTCTCCAAGCAGCAGTGGAATTATTCTCTTTTCCTTATCCACATTTACATGCTTTATTTCCTAATTACTTAAATCTAACCCATCATTTTCTCCCCATTTCATGCTGATTGCTGGTTTCCTTTGCTAAGGAAAGGTGATCTACCTACAGGAGAAGCTGTCCCATATTTACATGTTTGTAGCTCAGTTTGGTTTATGAATCCTCTCAGAAAATTTAGATATATCCTGAGATTTCCTTTACAGGCAATGTAGTATGTGGGAGAAGATGCTGTTGCAATTAGATAATTCATAAAAATAGCGCTGGAGGTTTAGTATTTTTATTCTTTCCCAAGCAAAACAGAGCTGGGGAAGGGATGGAAATTCAGGCAGGAATGTCTGGAGCTGAAAGGTACCGTGGTTGTGAAAGCCAGGCAGTTAAATTAATGAAGCAAAAGGCTGATTTAAAAGATGAAAATAAAATAATTAAAGATGCAGCTAACGCTGTATTAGACAAAATTCAACTTTAATGCAAAAGGTGAAAAAATCTGATTGATAAACCACATTACAAACTTCCAAATCTGCTCCCCCAGATTGCCTCTGTTCTTTGCAGAATAATCCAGAACACCTTGGGGAGGTGTAAAGGTGATTTTTTTTGATCATTAATGAAAAATTGCTGTTTTGTGTATATACTGGGTTTTGTTGAAACTATAAAATGACATTCCCCCAATCATTTTAAATTTGAAGAATAGAATAAATGCAGTAATTTATAATGCAGGATGATAAGCACTTGACATTTTGATGATGTGCTTGTAAACAGAAAGGACCCCTTGGTTGATAGAATCCAATCTGATCTAATAACTATCTTTGACAGAGGCAGGAAGGTGCTCTGTGCACTCTTTTTGTCAAACACCAGACAAATCTTAGCACAACCAGTTACTTTTTTGGTAATCCACTCATTTTTGTTTGTTAATATTGGCATATGCTTAAACTGATGATAACACAAATGGTGCTAGGCCTGTACATACTGTGTCATACTGTAAAAAAAATGAATAAATTCCATTTTGCAGTGATTTCCCGAATTCCTGTATCAACCTGAGAACAGGTTGGGATCAAGCTCTCAGTGATTACAAGCTTAAGCTTTTGACCAGCCTGTAGAACACCAGATTTAAGAAGTTAAGCTTAATTTAAGCTGCTTGGAGTGTAGCAGGAATGGATTGTTAGGAACAGAAGAGGCCTAACTTCATAAAATTCACTACTTTCTTTCAACTGTGCCCCAAATCCCTTTGATTTCTGTGATTGATTACAAATTGTACAGGTGTGTGCTGAGCCAGTACACTGCTGGAGGAGCTCTGGCATGAATTTCCCTCAGGGTAGGATGACTTTTAATCAATAACACGACAATATTATCGTGTTTAATTTGTCCAGTGGCAGCATTAGACCTCAAATCAAGCTGTTTGTTATGTCAGGGGAGGGTGACAAATGGCAGAAATGAACTTTTGCTGTATTTCACTGCCCTGACAGGCCATCATGATCGGGGATGACATCGTGAGTGATGTCGGGGGAGCGCAGCGGTGCGGGATGAGAGCGCTGCAGGTGCGGACGGGCAAGTACAGGTCAGTGCTCACCCTGCACATCCAGAGCAGAGCCACCAGGCCAGCCTTTGTCCATGCCTTTTTCCCACCTTTCCCCTTGCTGTCAGTGTAGGTTTGCATTTGTTGTCTGCCCAAGCACCTCCTTGTGCAGCACAGACTCGGGTGGATGCTGATGTTTTCTTTCAGGCTGTGTGGAAGTAGCAGGAAGGGGAGGACAGAGTGGCTTTGATCTTTTGCAGAAATACTTTCTGCTAAATTCCTTCTGCATCACAGCACATAGAACTGGTGTATTTCTTGGGGTTTGCTTCTTTTTTTCCTGCTGCTGCACGAAAGCGTTGTACATTTGATACAAGACGTGTCTGAAAGCCATGGCGGGGTTGGGGTTATAAAACTGGCCTGTTGACTCAGCCAGCCTGTGGGTCATTCATCTCTCACAGCTTTAGGAGGGGCTCCATGTGTCTGCCCTTCCCTCCAGACACACATTCAGCACTGAGGTGTCTGAAACACAAGAGCTGCTTCCCCAGCTCTCACCTTGCCAGAGTGCAGGGTCCTGTAGGGTCACTCCTGGCTCCAAATGCAAACCCCTCCTTGTGCAGCTGTCCCCATGATCTGTGCTCTCACCGAGCTGTCACACGGCCAGCTGCTGAGGGGGGCTCACCCAGAGTGCACCTCGAAACAGGACATGACCCAGTGCTGAGCAGGTTGGCTTTGAGGTCAGCTCAAGGTGACTCCAAATGCAGTGCAGAGATCTGTCCCTCCGTTTGGCATTCTGACCCCAACACTCAAAATCTCATTTTAGCCATCTCCCCTCACCCTGAACCATGCCTCCTTGAAGTATGGTTCAGCCACACCCTTTGCCATCTGATGTCATTTGTTACTTTCACAGTTTTTCTTCACTTTTAAATCCTGAGACTGTAAAAGAAGGATGCTCCTTTGGGGAGGGATACAGCACATGAAAATTATGCTTGCCATAAACTATCTGAAAAGTTATTTTGCTTGTTTTCAAGTCAATCTGTTCCTCAATTTTCCTTTTTAGTTTGTGTAAGGTGATAAAATAATACCATGTGCCTTCATTCTAATGGACCAGTAAGTGATGGTTTCTAGGAAAAAAAATTCAGGTACAAGTGTATTGTATTTTCTATAATTTTAAGATAGTACATCTGAAAATCAGGTATGTATCTCAATAAAGCTTGGGAAATCCCAAAGATTAAAAAAGTAATTATATAATTTGTGCTTTTGGGATTATTTGTCTGTAATCTTTGTAGTCCCAGGAGCTGGGTCCCAGGAGCTGGACTTGATGATTCCAACTCAGGACTTTCTATGGCTCTAATCCCATGAGCCTCCTAATGGAGAAAATAAGGATTCAGTGGTTGATTTTATTCTGATATGAATGGGATCACTTTGCAAATCCACATTTTGTTGCCACACAGATCCAGGTGCCCATGAAGAGGGTAACTTTGCACACAAAAGGTGAATTAGGTCTTTGCTACTGACCAGAACTCTCCTGTTTCTTGCTTTGCCCATCATAAAACGTGCCCCAGGTGATGTTGCATCCACACTGTTCAGGCAGCTGGCACAAACTCTGTGTACCCAAACACATAAATATGTGTCATCATATGCTAGAGAGGCATTTTCTTGTGTCAGGTTTGAGTCATGAATTCACAGCTGAAAGGGAGTAGCTGGCTGTCCTAGATGGGGAACAAGGATTGTGTTTCCTCTTTCAGTGTGTGGTTGGTGCTTTCCCAGCTCAGGCACAATTGCAGAGCAGTCAAATACAGATGAGTCTCTCTCAATTCCCTGTGTCGTGCCAGGCCTGCTGTCAGCAGCTGGGAGTAAAATGAAGTAACTCCTGTTTGCCAGGAGAGGTCAGAGGTGTATCTGTATTTTTCAGAATGACTTGTTTAGTACACTTAGAAAATCAAGGTGCACGGTGAGGAGAGACAGAAAATAAACAAGCGATGGGCAAGATAAATTAAAAATAAATAAAATGTAATTATTTAGTGGTGAGGTTAGTTTAAAATCTGATACATAAGATATACAAAGGTCCTGTCTCTGCCTTTAGCCTTTGATGACACAGAGTTCTGTGCTGCACCCGAGCACCTCTGGATGGCATCGTTGGCTCGTGCACGTCACTGTGAGCCCAGCCTGCGCTTCCCCACCGTCCTGGGCTGTTTGTCCAAAGTCTTGTAAAGCACAGAGCTGTCAGGGTTTTCTGCAGGTGTTGGTGGGATTGCCACAGTTGTCAGTAACAGCACCACTGAATGGTTTGGGTTGGAAGGGACCCTGTTGTCCCCCTCCTTCCTCAGCCTGAGGATGTCCCCAGCTGGCATTGTCACCTCCGGTGCACAAGGGTGCTTGGGGCAGCTCTCCTGCTTTCAGGGCTCAATGCAGTTTACATGAACATTTTAGGAAAAGGTTTTTCCCCAGAGGATGCTGGGCACTGCCCAGGCTCCCCAGGGAATGGGCACAGCCCCAGGACTGCCAGAGCTCCAGGAACATTTAGACAGTGCTCCTAGGGACAGGGTGGGATTGTTGGGGTGTCTTGGCAGGGCCAGGAGCTGGACTGATGATCCTGTGGGATCTTCCAGCTCAGGATACTCTCTGATTTTACACTTCTGTGGTTTTTAAGGTCTGCTGCCCACCCAGGTTATGCAGGGATGTGCCCTGGGGTTGCCCCCTCCCCAGGCTCTCACCCTCCTGAGCTCTGCAAAGTCTCTCCACTGCTGGCTGCTCTCAGCATGACATTCAAAATGTGGATGAAACATTCAGTTTTGCACCACCTTGCATGGAGTCCTGCAAGTTGGCTCCTTTGTCTTGCTGCTCTTGGATCTTTAAAGTCAATTAAAATCTGGGCAGCCTATTGCCTTTAGTGTGACACACTTTGCCTGATCCCCCTCAATCTCAAGTGTTGAACTCTTTCTCAGTAGCCAAAGCAGGCATAGATCAGTCCAAGAAATGCTATAAATCCTGTCTGCAGCATGGAATAAAACTTCTGCTGGCACAAATCGGGGCACAAGTTGGGAAGGTGAGAGGATAAGATTGGTGTGTTGGGTGACCTGACACAGGGTGAGCAGCTGTTGGCTAGGTCTGGCCTTTCCTAGGTGTCAATTCCAGATGCAAAGGGTCAGTCTGGGCTGCAGGTTTCTCCTCTCTGTTTGTCCCATGTCCAGGACAGATCAGGCCATTGCTGCAGGCTCCTGAGGGCTGTGAGATTTGTCAGCACTGGGAAATGTGATGCCAGTTCCAGAATTTCTGTGCACACCTGGCCAGCATCTTTCCAATCTAGGGAAGAACATGTTCTTGTCTTCCAGCTCGGGGTATGTGCTAATTCCACTTGCAGCTAATTGGCCTTGACATCAAACCAATGATTCCCACAATAACTATTGATTCTGCAATGCTGTGTAATATCCTCATTCCTTTTTGTAGCCTGCAAGTTAGAGCAGAGAAAAATGACTTTGAGGCTTTTCCAAGTGTCTCCCTGTACCTCTGGGAACAGCTTCCAGCTGCATCAGATCATAGCTGGGTCTTGGCAGGGACTAAGAATTGCTTGCCCCCTTCTACTCATTGTTATTTAGAGATTTTGATATGTAAGTAATGAATTTTCCATTGCTGGTGTGTGGCAGCAGCCAGAACTATTCAGCCCCTGCTCACCTGCGAGCTTGCTTTGGAATGTGGCAGTGTGGATTCGCCCCTTCTCAGTGCCCACCTGGGGTTTCCTTCCTTGGATTAGGGATTTGTCTGGTGGCTGTGGCTGATACTGAAATCAGAGTCAGCATCCCTGAGCTGCCTCATTGCAGACATCAAGGATTCCCCAGGGATGGAGGCCCCTGAGAGCTGCCAGCTCTGCCACTATTCTCCAGAACTGGGTCAGGTTACTTCATGTGTCCCTACTTTTTAATTATCCTCTGAGAATAATTACCCTGACTTTCTTAAGAAAGTGTTTTGTGATCTGTTCCTCTTGCCTGATTAAAGAAAACACACAGATTTTGTAGAAAATTGGCTTGCCAGGAGAGAAGTCAAAATGTGACCGAGACAAAAGTGGGATAGAGAAGTCTTAGGCTGACTAAGGATTGGGAAAAACAGGTTCTGTCATTAAATGAAGTTATAAAAGTATTCTTAAAAAACATTCCACACGTGGATAAAGTCACTGCTCCCACTGTGTAATTCAGTGAAACTCATGACAACTTCTGTGAAGAAATAGTCACCTCTTGCTGCTCTGCAGAGAAGGAGCATCCCTCCACCCTCCCTCTCCTGCTCCCTGTGTTACCAACCCAGCCAGGATGAGCAATTTCATGAGTTCTTTCCCATCTCCTGGGTACCAGCAGTGTGTAATGAGAATGAGCAGGCAGAGGCACTCCCTCTGTGCAGAAACACAACCAGAGGCATTCTTAGGGCCTCACATCCTGATAATTAGACCTGTTTCAGGTATTAAATGGAAAGAGTTCCAGCCCATGTTTGCACTGTGAAAAGTTTTGTTATCATTCATGTTGGTTAATGTCTTAGGCAATGTTTATTAAAGCTGGTGTCAGTGAGTTGGTTGTGAGAGCTGACTGCAGGCAGTGCCTAGGCATGGCCTTATCACCCTTCATTGCATATTCAAGTTATGGTTTGCTCTGTCTGTGAGAGGATCTTCACATGTCTTTATCAATTTCTTGACCACAGTTTGGTTACCGTAATATTTGAATCAGCTTTGTAGAGGAAGCTCAGAGTGAATCCTGCAGTGCCTTAGTGTGCACATCTGATCACAGCCTTCCACCTTCCCAGTATATTCCAGTGTCCAGTCACAGAAATTACTAACTCATGCATGAATTTAATTATCTTCAGTCTAAAAGAGAAGTGTGAGTTTGAGGGGGGTTTATTAGCAGCTAATTTATTTATTGGTAGCATAATAAAACTTGAGGGAGCAGTGTGTGCTCAGGACATAGCCATGCTGTGTGCTGATGTGCTGCTCTGCAAAAAACCAGCCTGAATATCAGAAGAAAGATCAGTCTGCAATGAGAGTAGGAGAAATAAAGGAGGAA